TAAAAACAAATCATTACTAGTACTAGTAAAAGTCACTGTACAAAGTATATATACAGGAACCAGTTAATTAAATTACAAACAACACTAATCATTCCTAGAACCACATAAAGTCACTATACATGTATATACATTTGTAGTACTGGTACATGTATTAATTACAGGCACCGAATACCATTAAAATGACTACTACATTGTACATGTACTTTTGAGAATTATGAATTATGATGTGTCAGATTTCCTTATTTGGAGGAAGATGAGTAGCCCATAAAAGTTTCTTGTAGCTTAAATAGTTTGAGTTCCTATGCCAGTTGTACCAGTCAGTAGTCAGTCCAGCAGTAGCTATGTCTCTCCTGTTAGTGGTTGTTCTCTTATTCTTCAGTAGCTCCTGCAGTGTCTCCTCTGGTCAGTATTATGTGTCTGATGACTGCAGTTCAGTTACTCATAAACCTTGTAATTTTTTGTCAGTGTATGCTGGGGATATGTCTCAATACAATAATACCATCTTCTACTTTATTGGAACTACTAACATCAGATATCATGATGTTATCATGATTGCAGTGAAGAATGTTACTCTACATGGACTGGATCAGTCTGCTAGTATCCACTGCAATGAGGAAGCTTCTAAATATAATATTGCATTATATTACAGTGATCATATCACTATTTCTAACTTATCATTTAGTGATTGTACAGTGGAGGTTCATTCATCTAACAATATTACAATAATTAATTCTGTCTTTGCCTCATCGTTTGGTACAGAAAATTATCATTATTATTATTTAGTTACATCTAACACTTTTGATTTTAACATATCATCATCAGTATTTTCTGCAGGCTTTTCTTGGAATCATTTGTATAACCCACTTCCAGCCTGTAGCAGTGAATTACTCCATTACTCATTGATACTGACTGATGTTAACTTTACTACTGGCAGTGGAATAGAACTAGCAATGAATCATGGCACCTCATACAATGTATCAATCATCTTTGATCATGTTCAATGCTGCACTAAACCTGGACTTCTGGTGGGGGGTCTTTTTTATTTTTTAATTATCAACTCATTTCATGATGCTTATGATGGTCCTGGTCTTTTTATTGCTTTTGATGAAAATTCAAAATCAACTGATTGCTCATATCCTGGTACTCAATTAACTTCTACTCTTGTATTCGAGGACAGTCAGTTTTATAATAATAAACAAGGATTGAAGATCGATAGTGATGTGTATTTAATAGAAGCAGTAAACTATCACATTATTATTAAATCATGTTTGATATATGACAATATAAATGAAGGATTATTCATTGATGGAACATTTTTGAGATTCCTTCAAATTGATATAATAGATACTGAACTTATTGGAAATGGAGGAAATATGATAGCGAACAGTGATGCTATTAGTCTCAGTAATGTTACTGTTGCTAACAATACCTATACAGGATTGAGTCTTATAGCATCATTAGTGACAAT